GGCCATTCCCCATCTGAAGTGCCTGCGGTAGGTTTCTCGGCCAACAGCGCACTGTTGCCATGCGGCATTGCCGGTCAGAGATCCCTGGCGAGCCGGACCAAAGGCCAGCTTCTTATCGGCAATATCGGCTGAATTGATCTGAGGATATCGCCGGGAGCCCTTTATCAGGTAATTGAAATCTACAGAGACATATTCAGAAATAGAGTGCGACTTACCACACCTAAGCCATACCCAATCAACTGATACTGGACCGATCCATATATTGACCCAATATGTGTGGAAACTTCGCTACTAGATTGGGAGAGCTGTGACCCGCTCTTCAAAGTGAGTGGAAAAGGTGTCAGACTTGTGGGACGGTTCTTGGGAGCTTGGTCGAAGAGTTCTTGGTCCACAATCGGTAGGTTATATACTCTTGCCAAGCCAAGGCAAGCAAGGAGTGCGCGCTCCTGTGGGTAAGAATATACGTGATTGGCAGCTGGTATGTCATATGATTTTTGAAAGGATCTCACCGCCCGATCCATGGTAGGCTTCACGGCGCTGTTCTTAGCAGTGTGGGTGTAATTATGAGTAACTGCTGGCTATCAAGATTCTTTACAGAAGTTTACTGTGCCATCCTTGTCGGTCCCGAACACGCTGATGGTTTCCATTAGGGGGTTGACTCGCTTCATTTTGAATATAAGCGACTATTGGCTGATATAACAAAAGATCGCGAAAACAGACTCACCACTTCATTCTCAGCAGGGTGTACCAGGCTGTCCTTAGTGGCAGGCGTATCATGTCGTTTTGGAGGCAGTCCAATTGCGAGCACTCGCCCAGCAATGTCGAGCAAAATAACAGGGACGTCAGACGGCATTGCGCGCATGGAGGCAATATTTGTCATGGCGCGGGCTCTCAAAGCGTGTAAGTTGGGATAACGTAGAGCGAAGGGTTTTCCCTGCTGTGGATCGGACTCGTAGGCCAGCAATGTTTTCTTGATGTACTTGGCGCACTGGTAAGCGCCACTTTGTAGTGAAGTCGACAGCCCTTGGCGCTCCGATCCCGCTAGCACAAGGTCGACTGCATGTGGTATGTCCCCTAGATTGAGATGCGATGTCTCCTGCAGGAACCTTGCCACTGCGAGGTCATAATCCAAAGAAACAACATGACCGTCGCGAATGCTCTTTTGTACATATTCGAATGCCATTTTCCGTTGAATAACCATCTGGGCCGGGGTGAAATCTTGTGCTGGCTTTGATGGAACATAGGCAGCAGGAACAAACTCGGTACGCCGTTGCTTTCCCTTATCTTTGAAAACGGACAAGGGTCAGTAGTGAATGTGAGAATCTGCCAGATGCAAAACTCACGCTGGATGGTTTCATCGATCTCCGCGGGTCTCTTCAAAGAGGAATGGACAAGGCGATTAGCCTTTGAGGTTGGTTCATGGAATGCATGGAATGGGGAAGGTGGCTGTTCAGGCAAGCGTTCCTCGACTTCGCATATCTCCGTTGATGGTGATGATGAGCGCTCCGAGTGCTCAGAGAGCTCCGTCAATGGAGATGATGACCTGTGGGACTGGACGGGTGGTTCCTGAACAGGTTCTTGCTGATAAAATCGCACTTGATGAAGCGCGGGGGCGGGGGAAGTTGCATGCAATCCTAAAGTTTGAAAGATTAATTCCCTCAGCTTATCGGCAAAGGTTCCTATGGTTAAGACAGCATCCAGATCCGACTCTTCAACGCGCAACTTGTCGTGGAGACTAGCTGGGGTTCGGCAGCATGGCAACTTGTCCATATGCCAGCCTCCCAGCTGGCTGGTGTCCTTTGCTGAGCTGAGGGGAAAGGTAGGTAGGTACCTACCATTTTTTGGTAGCAAGCTCATCTTGGCATGCTGCCGACAGAGCGGGGGATACTGAAACCTTCCCATCAATCCCGAAGTAGAGTTTGACCGCCAGTATATTGCAGGAGGAAGGTTAGGGAGAAGAAGCTAGAAGAAGCCGGAAGAGCGGGTGGTAGCGCATATACGGTATTAAACAGGAGCTAGATGTATCTAGTAAGAGGCTAAAAAAAGAAATGACTCACTTCTCTTCCCAAAGATGGGGAAAGAGAAGTATGATTGAGATCGAGCTCCGATGTATATGAGTAAGACTTTCATTCAAATACATTGGGGCGATGTAATTCCTATTTGCAACTCATTTTCATATCTCCCCTTCTGTCTTTATTTGTCAATCTTTTTCACAGCTTTCTCTTTTCGCGTCAATTTGATAATTTATATCCTGATTATAATGATTTGTCGATTGAACACCAACATCAGTTAGGGTATGTATGTAGGTGTGTACTCTGCAGTCTGCTGCTTGACAGGCGGCTTAATATACATTACAAGTCTAGTGGCAACGGTGTGACAGCCCAGTGAAACGTGCACCAGGCCGCGGTTGTCGACAACCGCAACCTAGTCTTCACCACCCTTCTAAACAAATAGACAGGTTAACCTAAACACCTCATTCATTATTCCTTTTTCTACACATGAGATCATTAAAAACAAACTCTAGTCAAAGATTAGAAATCAGAAATCTCTTGAAAATTCAACGCTTCACTTTGAAGAATTGAACAACGCAAGTCTTGAAACAGAAGTCCAAGAAGATGAAAGGAGAATAGTTCTGCAGAGAAAAAAGCGAGGCGAGAGTAAAAGAAACTCTCTGAATTGAGAAGATGCTGGATTCTCTCGAGCACGCAATACCAAATCAAAACCTTATATCGAGATTAACATGAGTCTCATTGATAAATTCAATATTTCTTGTCATCATTTATAAGGTTGATGCAAGAGGTCAAAGGAAAATTCCACAATATCGAGGATATCACGAAAGAGTGGTTTTCATGGGAAGATTCAAGTACGTTGTTACACTTTTTTAAGGTCTGATGATTACAATGACCAAGATGTCGAAATCCCTTAGAAGAGAGATTGGCGACTTTCTCCTCCGCAGGAATGACGCTTAATTCGTCAAATAATCAAAATGTAAGATACAATTTGTCTGATCCAATTCAAATACCACAACATAAATACACCCATTAATGTGAACCATTGTTTGAAACAGAAAAAGTAAATCAGATGTTAATGTGGTTTGACGTATCAACTTGTTATATACAAACAATGCCATAGCAATCACACTTAAAAAAACGAGAGCTAGATCTATCCAATGAAAATGTCCTAAAAGATCTCTGCAAGTAAAATTAAAAACGTGATATGCTCAATGTAATTTTTTCTGGTTGACGATCCACTGGTCAAATTCTACTCCCTGCGCCAAGTCACATCATGGGGCATCTCTTCCTACCACTCATCGCGCATCAGTGTGATCATCTTTTCCAGGCTCTAAGGTCGTTGCCACTAAGAAATGTCTGGCTAGGCCCGTTGGTCTATTCTTTCAGCAAATCCGATATACCCAATGTAAACTGCGACGTAGTTTGAGACTTCCAAGAGTATCACAGCCGAGCGTTGAAAAACAGTTTTCAAGCTTAAGATTAGCCTAATCTTGAGCTTCAGTTCCTGCGGCGGGCGCACTCGCCTCTGCTCTATGTAGTGTGATGTAATGATAGGTTCACCAAATATCGTTCAAGTTTGTAAAATATCCAGAAAGGAGATATGGTACTTTGCACCAGGCCTCGGTTGTCGACAACCACAAGCTATTCTGCAGTACAAGAATTTGAATATTCTCTCTTCTAGTCTCTTTGAATGTTTTAACCTTTCTTTAGTGTATTTCTTGGTTCCCCCCCTTGTTGAGGACATGAATACACTACGCCCGTCGAGCCCCTTGTCTCCCCTCATTCACATCACTAAACATCGAACACTCTCAGGATAAAAATCAAACGGCTGATACGGTTTTGCGCATCAATTGATTGACTTGGTAAGAGAAACCTATGCTGAGTCTTCGGGGTGGTAAGCAGCTAAGCCTCACACTGAAATCCTTTGTGCTTTCGTCTTTCCTAAGTTTCAATCCGTGTAGATTGACAATAATTTTTCCTATAAGTACGTCTCAATTACCTTCCTGGTTCTGCTTCCACAACAAGCCCACACAACTCTTGTCCTGAACGTTATCGCTTTACACTGGCCCTGACCTCTCCCATAAATCATATCACTCCTGATTCCGATTGCATCACAAGCAGCAAAATGAACAGAATGACAGCAGCCTACGAATGTCCTCACCTCACCACTTGTAGCAGCACAATAACGCGGAAAAAAAAATGTGCGGACTGTGTAGCGTTAAACAAGCAAGGTGTCATCCGGCACACGGCGAGTAGTACGTTGCATCCTGCCTGTAGCCCGGGCTTCCCAGCTTATGGAAGTAAGTCTTCTCTCCACGTGCAAAATCATTGCCACCAGTCGACTCACACCCAGTCAATGTGATCATAGTAGATGATTTTGTCGCCTTTCCTTTTACAAGAAGGCAGGGAGATCAGTTTTCTCCTCAAAATAAAACCAACAACATAGGTCAGAGCTTCAAAGGTTCTGGAATTTAACCCAGATTCTGACCAGTGCCTTTTTTATATCTCTAATCCTTGCAAACAGTCCCCGGAGCTTCTACAAGCAAACATAAGACCGCGCACCCGTGGCCTTTGACGGATGACAGTTTCATCTTGAGAATTAGAAAGGACCGCCATGCGGGTTCTTCAAAATCCGGCCAGCTCAGCGCATTTACTACCCCAGAAATTCAACATAAGGAGTCCATCAGCTCAAATGCAACTTCCCAACATATTGAAAGCGCAGGTATATCTATGCATACACCAACCCCAAATTTATCGGTTCAGTCACGCTTGGGAAGTGCATTTACTACACCTGATAACAAACATCAGCAGCCTGGCAGTGAGGAGGATGCTTTGGATATTGCTGTAGAAAGCGTCGAAAGCAAAAGCACGCACATCAATACACCATCCTCAAATGTTTCGGGTCCTTCGAAATCCGTACAGTTCAGTGGATTGGCCACTACCCCCAGCAACCAACACAAGAATATTGTCAGTAAGAATGCTTTGAAAACCATCATAGAAAACGTCGAACCCGAAGGCATGCCCATCCATAGACCGGCGCAGAATTTTTCGGGTTCTTCATCATCGGGCCAACGCAGTGGATGTACTACCCTTGGCACCCAACATATGCATGTCAGTGATGATGCTTCGAGTACCACTATAAAAAATGGAAAAAGCACAGGTACATCCATCTGTAGACCAGCCCCCAATTTGTCCTGGAAATTGACTTGCTTCGCCTTCCCCAGGTAGGGTTCGGATGCCAAACAACGGTGTGAATGATGACCCCTTATGCAGTGACTTGCCACACCATACTCAGCTCAACTTGCCTTCAAGTTGCAAAAGCGAGGTAAAAGTTGATCAAATCAGTTCTTTGCCTCAGGCTCTTATGCACCATGTACGGAAATTCACAACAGCCAGTACACTATTGGATCTGATCTTTGTGTGTTACTTTGCCGGTTTCATCGCTTGGAAGTGGGCATTCATATTGCTTCTATCCTTATTTATTTCAATATTAAGCGCTTGAGGATTCTACTACTTTTAATTTAAACCTGTCCTAGTGTAATTCATAAATGTTCCCTTTTCTTCGCACCTAGAATTGGCTGTTCATATCTGCATATACTTGTATGTATATACGCGTATATATCAATGCCTGCACTGCTCCTTTATGTGTAGTGCCCTAGTTCATCCATCCGTTATCATCATCTTAAAAGTTTTTTCCCAACCGTTTATTTTTCTCCACAAGTACTCATTAACCTCCCGCCCACCTAAGCTGGGGAAAGTTGAAACAAAAACCACATAAAATATATCTTTCTGTTTGTGACTCAATTCCCTTTAAATTCATTAATATGTCTGAGATATGTTTTGTTCTTTCAGACAGAATTAGTCTATAAGCAACAAAAGTCTGTGGTAGATGTCAATCATGTTAGGAAGGTCAGGACATACCCTCCAAAGCCTGAGATCCTGAAGCTCAACGATTTCCCTTACTGATAAGACACACCGCGGGAGACAGCGCGAGATCCATGAATCCAAAAAGTTTTCAAGTCTTTGTGCAAGGTGTCGGTCAATTTGATGTTTTCCTTCTTGTATGTACACCAGAATTAGATACATGTAAATTCATTTAAGCCATGAGGAATCTTTTGAAACCTTGATTTGCTCGCGAGGTGCGTGTGGATTCAGCAATTCTTGCCTCCAACAACTTCAGCTCTTCATCATATTTCACGGTGTCATAATCCTAAATACGGACATCCATACTCCACATCGAAGTCCTCTTGCCATAGTCAGCTACCACGTTACCACCGCCACTCAAGTCAATCCTTGACCATGTTGCAAAACCAAAAAAGTCTCTTTCCACACTCCAAGTCAACAGGCTTTCTTTCAATGGAACTTCAGGTCATATTCCTTATGCTCTGCTCACGATATTAATTCCATATCGGTATATCGCCTCATTCCAATTTTTGACAACATCTATTACATACAAACTTCAAGCAGTCATCGACACTACCACTTACCTCCGCTGTAGTGCATAATCTCTTCTGATTTTTCCTGTCTTACCTTGCTAGTTGTTGTAGCTGTATATCCAGCTTCAGTATAATGCATTGTCAAAAGCTAAGCTTCACCAGTTGAATTCTTACTTTAATTGTATTTTTTGATAAACCTGATGTCAAACAAGAAAAATTGATTTTGAAAATTTTCAACCAAGATTGAATTCTGCAAACCAATCTGGAAATTGAAGTATTCATATCATCACAATATCATTGAATGAACATATTTAACTTTTATGATTCAATAATTACGCTTGACATCTAAAGCTAAAAGCATTACTTGAAGAATCATGAATTCAAGTCAAAATGAAGATAATCAGGACGAATTCAATCCAGCTAAAGGAAATATCTTGTTTCCATTGCTACCCATTCCGGCCGAAACGATTTCAATCAATGGTCCCGATTTTAATCACGGATTAGATTTAAATCAATTGATGTAATCTTATCAAAAACATCGCTTTTAAGCCACAAGTTTATACCAAACAATTGAAATCATTAACAAAATTTGGCAAGTCTTGACAAAAACACTCAAGTCAAAATCAAAAAGACCGAAAAAAGTTTGATATCTAACCAATCTGCAATTCGAAATTCTTTGTCAATGAAGATCATCAGGTTATCGTTTTATCAAACCTTGAAAGAGAAAAGTATCAAAGGATTGACGATTTTTCAATTATTTAGCTTTTGGTGATATGTGATGTAAGGTTTATACCATTTTATTAAGTGTAAGTGCGGGCGAGCCTGCTCAAGTTCCAGTGATGTAGTATATCCAATGATGGAAATGCACCATTCTCTTTCAAAGTAGAATACCAGGTCAAGTTTTTGTTTTCCACTAGTTGCTATTGGCAATATCAATCCTGAAATATTGAGAGTCAAAATTCAAATACAAATCATAGTTTTCATTCCACCAAATGATTGACCCAGAATCGAACATAAACATGTCTCATGATCTTTTGATTTGTGATTCTTTTTCCATTGAGACCTTGTTAGAATTGATACATTCATTAGAATACGGGTATATAGTACATTGAACTTTGAGGTTTGGTATGATTTTCAGAGGGGAATGTGACAGCCAGCGTCCAGAGCCTTACAAACGCCCATGTTGAGAGTATAAACACTAAGACTGAAAACATAGCCGGATCAGGGCATCCGAGTTGCTTCATCAGCTTGTTTTTCTTGCCCTGACAACACTCCATAACCGAAGGCTCACCAAAGATCAGATTATTGAATGGCATGCATGCCTTACCAGACTTTTCACTGCTTGATGGTTCAACAGCTAAGTTGACTTGTCTCACTTTTGTCGTGATCTCGGGGTAGTCTAGGCCTGATATGAATTGTTAGTGGTAATGTTGACACATGTTTTTCCTAGTAGTCCGAAGGAATGACTCACCTTTACTGACCGGGAGTTCCTTGTTATTGGTACCTTCTTCAATCGCTTTCGACTCAGCAGTTTCACGTTGCATCGCCACCTCCAGTTCTTTGAATGTTTCGTCGATTTTTCTTTGCAAATCTTCAAGATCAAGACTCATTTTGAAGAGGGTAGAGGTTTTCTTACTGGATCGAAGATGGGTGCACCAACAGGTGAAACAGAATATCAGACAAACAGAAGATCAGACACTATGCTGTAGTTTGGGTTGCAACTCGTGTGCCTTCTGATCTGTCTCACTCTTTTAAGATGGATTAATCCATCTTAAAAATATTGCAGGATATGCCGCTTTTTGACCTGCTCAGACAGACATGGATTCTGAGGACCGCAACCAAGCGCAGTCAACCTGGTGGCTCAATAACTCAGCCAGAGCCTCAGACTGCTCATGAAGACTTGAGCATCTTGTGAGTTTACTGTGAGTCATATGTCACAGGCGGGACAAATCCCATTCATCATCCAGCCTAAGTCCAACAATTAAGCATCCTTTGTCAGGTTTTCTCCATGAACACCCTTGTCCTAAGTGTGCTGAGGCTCTCACTGACTGAGCTGATCAACATTCGGTGGACTAGGCCTATTGAAGAATCACTCAGGCATAATCACTCACCTGTTAAATGCGTTGCTGTAGGTCAGCACACTCATAACCTTATTTTTAATCACTTAAACACAGTCCATTTCTCCTATAATCATATTACATCTCTTATACATCACATCTACCCCGTGAAGTTTTCTAGATACTCCTTGGAACTTCGAAGTTTTGTTTCTCTGCGTTTCACCTAAAATGGCACCTCCTACTGAGATTGTGTGCCGCTGTGGACGTTGTTTGATGTCAACATTCCGTGCAAAGGGCGTAGTTCAGCAAGGCCGCATATGGCGGCCAAAATCCCAAGCATATAAGAATCATCGAGACGCCCTCAAAAAACCTCCGGTACTGGAACAGACTACGAGCGCTGATTACAATGCAACCAATACCGACTTACAAGATCACAGTAAGCTACTATACTTATCAAGACAGGCACCTGTCGAAGCTAACAGGATTGTCTAGCAATTTTGGGCACAGGGGTGCAACACGAGTCAACAAACAAACTCTCTCATCTGGACATCGCCTACTTGACCAACTCACATCAACAGCCTCGAGACCGATCCCTTAATCATTTTCCGGAGGTATGGGCTGGGGAGACTATTGACTCAAGTATGTATCAGTCTTAGTCTGAAAAAAGAATCAGTCTTGATTAAATCCAGCTTTCAACGATGAAATAGGCAAATGCAGCATGACTTATTACGACCAATTCCAACGCATGGAGGCTACAAATTTAATCTTAATAATGATGGTGACCTGCCTACACCTCTTCAAACACATCAGTGTGTCCATAGCTACCCTATGTCTTCATGTGATTCGAGCTGCCTTATCTATCTGCAATACCCCAGTTGGACATAGCAGAGACTGGAAACCGGTAGATATCAGAACTGTACTTAGTGATCTGAGGATTGAGCCGCAGATCAAAAGAACTTACTGCTGTCCGAAGTGCTTTCAGCTGTATTATGACGACAAGATTCCACAAAACTGCACCTACCGTTCCACTCGCCGAAGTCCCAAGTGTCGGGCGCCCCTCTATCGCAAGACCTCTGGACCTGATGGTGTTGAAAAACTGCATGCTACTCGACTACTTTCAACCATATCTTTCACCGATTGGTTAGCTAGGTTCTTGAACAGGCCTGACATTGAAGACCATCTGGCTTGCAACAAAATTCCGAAGAGCAACTCGGTGATGGAAGACGTTTGGCACGGCTCCATGTGGAAATCTTGTCGTGGGATCGATGGCAGAATATTCACGAGCTCTCACAACAATTTAGTGTTTTCATTGAACGTTGACTGGTTCAATCCCCTAGGAAACAAAGCTGCAGGGAAGCAAATATCCATTGGGACCATCGCCCTAGTTTGCTTGAATCTGCCGCCCGACATCAGATCCGCTCCCGAAAACATCTTCCTTGCTGGTTTGATTCCTGGACCCTCTGAGCCTCGACTGATGGACATCAATAAAGTACTAGCCCCCCTGGTCGCGGAACTCAAAGAATTGTGGAAAGGCGTCAAGTTCTCTTCAACTTTCAATCATCCAAGGCAGGGCTGCATAATCCGTGTTATGTTAGGTCCAATCATATGTGACCTCCCAGCAATAAGGAAAGTGTTGGGAATGGCTGGACATTCCTCCCATAATCATTCATGCTCAATATGCCTCATACGGAAGGATAACATCGACTTGATTAATATTCCCAAAAAACTGTACCGGTCTACTTGCGTTCTTCGTTCCCAATCCTTGGCCTGGAAGAACGCTACCACCATGGAGGACAGAGCCGAAATCTTCAAACAACATGGGGTACGCTATTCAGTACTCTGGGAGCTACCCTACTTCGACCCACTTAAACATACTGTAGTTGAGCCAATGCACAATGTATTCCTCGGGCTACTTCGGAACCATGCACTGAACATCTTTGGTATAAAGACAAACCCCACAAAAATCAATAACCCAGTTGTACAAAATCTTGATATCGAAGAATCTCAAAATTCTCCTTCCGACAATGACGAAATAATAGATTATCAAGCCTCAGACGGACCGGAGATGAACATTGGAGATGATAACATGGATGATTCAAGCTCCGGCTTCATGTTGTCAGATGAGCAAATATTGACAGAAGGTTTGGATGGACTCTCAGAAACGGGCAGCTTTGGATATTTTGATGACGACACAGACTTAGCCCTTGCATTTGAGAACATGGATCTTGATGGCTTAAGTCGTGAGAGTAAAGCTTACACCAACAATAAAACTGAAGACATGTATGCTGATAAAGAAAGTGAAATCGAATCTTCTGACGAGGCGCTGTCTGAATTTGAAGTGGATGATGAGGAAGAAGACTTTAGCTATATTTTCAGTGATAAAGGGAATCTTAAACTACTTCATGATGCTATAAAGCAGGTTCAACTCCCAACATGGATAGGTCGAGTGCCGAATGGGATTGGGTCAGCAGCAGGTGGCAAGTTGAAAGCTGCTGAATGGGTTATACTCTTTCAGACAATGATAATTCCGGCCCTGATTTTGATAGCACACGACAGAGGCACCAACTTATCTGATGTCTTGGCCCCAAAAGCTGTCCATAACACACTCCACCTTATCAGTGTATTGAATATTATTCGACAATTGGAGGTGTCAGATGATGATGTTAAATCATTGACGTACCATCTCAAACGATATCGTCAGGGCCTATCACATCTGTTTGGTTCCTTCCCAATACTTCCCAATCACCACATGTCTCTCCACATTCCTCGGGTTCTAAAGATGTTCGGACCTGCCCCTCAATGGTCCGCATGGAGCTTTGAAAGGCTGAATGGTGCTTTGACACAGATACTAAATAATAATCACCCTGGTGCGCGATTTTTTCCCCCATTTGACCCAAAAGAATACGTACTCACTTCTGCACTATCTGACATCCAACATATCCTCAAATGTACCCCATCTTATAGATGAACGAGAGCTCACCCTCCTCAAAAAGTGGAACACAGCTCAGAACATGCGGTCCATCCTCCCAGTATTGTGCAAAGGACTCCCAACAAAAGCATCAAATCTACTTTTAAAACTCTCAATGCCCAAACGTACATGGGGCAGCGTCTCTCAAGGTCTCCAACCACAAGGGGAGGTCAGTTCGAATTATGCATACGCCCCCCAGAAGAGTGAAGGTCTTAGCTACGAGTCTCATGAGCGGCTTGTAAGCAGAATGAATGAGATTTCCGAGGAAAGAGTTCTAATAGCTATGAATGCTTACAAAGTCAAAAACAAAACTGCCAACATCCTTCCGCTCTCTTGATGGGTAAATCAGCTGAGGTCGGTGGATGTGGACAATATAAAATATACCGTCAAACACAAAAGTATCTCAAACAGCACAGTCCTGTATCAGGTCAAGAATACAAAGAAAAGGAATGAAGTGGTCTGTGGACAAATTGAAGAAATTTTCACCACAATGGTAAGAAAAGGTGAAAGCCGCAATATTCAACTTTGGCTTGAAATCAATAGGTATGATGACTTGACGCCTGCACATCAAAAGAAACATTGTCTCCGAGATTGGCCGCATGGGAAGATGAGACTAGTGTATAACAGGCAGAAGAAGATAGATTTAATTCGTGTTGATGAGCTCATCAGCCATGTAGCTTTGTGGGAGACACCAAAAAATTGTTTTGGTATCAAAGAAGCGACTTTGCTAGTCACTGACTTATCTAAAAGATCATCCACCAGCCACAGTATTTTGTAATGAACAAAAACCTTGTCATTGTATTTCTGACTCCTTCCTTTGGCAAGTCCAAAAGTTTCTTTCTGTTATGTATGTATATTCATCTAATGCGCTAAGAGTGTCGCACCAGAAACAAATTGGTATCATCGTTATATTCATAGAACCCTTTAGAAGATAAACAAATTTAGTCCTTTGAGATTATTGAATTTTCGTATCGAAAACTTTCTTGTACCGCCTTTCTCACCTTTAGAAAAGAACCCAGTACTTGGTGAGGAATGTATCACATGTGGTTTGAAGACTTAGACCCGCGTCTTTGATCTGACGAGGAAATCATCGATTTTGGATGCATCGGTTGAAGTTGTGTGCAAAGTAGGAAAACAGGGCCAGAGGACTCAACAGAGTTGTACTAAAGTCGATGTTTATTCAGATTATTTATCGACTTGAATCTCATGGTGGATGAGTATGTACCCAGTGTAGATTATTGGTAAGGAATAGTCGCGTTTGTCGACAACCGTGACCCCCTGAGCGTCTATGTTATGCCGTCGTGCCTTTGGGCGCCTTTAGATGAAGATAGCGATGAAAGAACACTCGAAGTGACGGCCCCCAAAGGATTGTGGTATTTCCCTTACTCACTCTTTTCACTTTTCCGAGAGATTACGCTGTGTTGTTCTGGCCCTCCTCCCAATCTCTTTTTGTCCTACCTTTTTCCTTTATTCCTGGTTAACCTCTTCATTCTCGTAGCACTCATATACACTAATCACATTTTATAAATCTTAGAATTTAGCTTACAATTAATTTTCATATTTGCTATACAAAGAATGAGTCTACATAACTCACTACACAACCTATTAAATACATATTCACAACTTCATCTAGTAAAAATCTCTACAAATCGCTTCGTGCATTAATCCGCATATCCAAAATCTTTATACAATTTTAATCCCATTTACAAACTCTAAACTACCGAAGTCATAATCTCACGATGCCAAAGATTGAAAACGCCAAAGTCAAAGCTAAAGCTATTTGAGCTAGTTGACGAGTACAAGGTCTTGGCGTCTCGCCTCCCACAGGGATAGCCCTTGATTATAGTGCTAAAAGTATGAAATTTTCCAATGAATCATTGCGGTTGTTGACAACCGTGGACTCCTGAGCAACAAGGAAATTTGGCATTTGCAAATTCCGCTTTGGCTCAAGGGTAGATTGCGTTACAAGCACCATATTACATAAATTTCAGATATTCCTAAGCTTCAGTCCATTGATCTCCTCTTTGTATCTCTCAGTTTCCGGCGATGACAGAAGAAACTAATGGTGATGGGTGGCTAGGGTTTGTATGCACAACTTGAAGACTTGAGATGTTGATTAGCGTGAAGAATTCTGACATGGTACTCAAGAATACATGCAAAGAAGTTTAAAACCAAGCTATAATTATCTTCAGTGTCCAATTTTACTGCAAATTTGACATTTTTATCTACATATCATCAAGATAAAAACTTGATAAATAAATAATCTACTCATTCTACCCTTGCTTCACTTTTAATTCCATGGCAATGTGAAAATTCTATTGAGAAATATTTAAATCATCATTCAAACAATGGATTCGACCACAGAGTTGACATCAAAAATAGAAATCCTGGAACATAAGTTAATACTCCTGTTGATCGTACTGCTTTTCCAAGAGGTGTCAAAGATTGTAAGGTATGCAAGGGCTAGGGGGCAGGACCGGTTGCGGTTGTCGACAACCGTCCAGCAGCTAACAAATTTGATCTGTAATGTGAATAGAAGTTTGAGTCTACAGATTCCAATTTTATTTGTTGAAAGTTTTTTGTTTCTTTTCATCATTGTTATCTTATTCCAGCAAAGTTTTCCCTGCTGTTGATTCTTGTCTCTCAGTTTCAGCGCTTACAGTGGTCCCATATGTTAACTTTAGGGGCAGACCACATATTAAGATAGACTGGAAGATATGGGAATTCTAGATAATCTCCACTGTTTCTAGAACAAAGGCTTCACTCAAATCAAACCCAAACAGTCCCTTTCAAGTCTCATAAAAAAGATTCTGTCTTAGCATTCTAAATGATCATAAGCACCATCAAAAATCATTAGATGAACAATCAAAACAGCTTCGGTAGGGCGGTGGGTCTAGCCCTCAGAGGGGCAATACAACCTCTCATGAGGCAGAGGGCTGCTATCATAGCTCTCGCAGCACTTTTCGTGGCTTTGAGTATGTAAACACTGCTTGGTCATAATTTACAATGAAATAAGGCAATGCTGACTTCCATAACTGTCAACAGAAAACCTGGCCGACTTGCAACAGATTCATGTAAAGTTCATTGAGTTAGAGGGCCGAATACAATGGGTTGAACATAACGATGATATGCTAGCGAAAACGTTTGAGGATGACGAGTTTGCTGGGGAAGGTGGAATGGACGCCCATCAATATTACAAAAGTATATCTACAGGAGACATCACAAGCTACATCAAAACCTCAAAGGAAGTGAAGTTTATGGCGGAGGAATGTATGAAACAATCTCTGAAAGACAGAAATTGGCGCCGCGATTTCGCATTCTTGAAAACAGGCGGTGATATAATCTCAGGTCTAACATCAAACACAATGAAAACCACTCATAATCAACAATTCAGTTCGGTGGGGCCAGAGATGGCAATAAGTGGCGATGCATCAAGTGGCGCATGCTGGGCGTTCCCTGGTAGAGCGGGTCAAATTGCAATCAGCTTAAGTCGTCGAATCAAAGTCCAAGCGACTACCATTGAACATATCGGGGCAAAACTGGCACAGAAGGAGATAACCTTGGCGCCTAAGGACTTTGAGCTCTGGGGCATAGAAGGAGGCGGAGAAGTTTTGGCCAAGAGACCTCTTATCAAGGGCTTTTACGACATCAATAACGCTTCCACCATTCAAACATTTGAAGTGATAGAAGGCGATCCCGGTTCCACTTATCAAAAGGTCCTTTTGAAGATATTGTCCAATCATGGGAACTCTCAGCACACTTGTCTGTACCGCGTCAGGATCCATGGCAAAGAGGTTTGATACTTATGTAACTAGTTTCTAAATTTAACACTCTTATCAATATGAATGCATAAAACCAGAGCGGGGAATGCCCTCATTGATTCAGAAGAAAGTTGAATAGATAAAAAGAAAGATGATGAAACCTCCACTACACGCTGATGTCTCAAAAGTCCTACATATTGTATACCTTAGAAGGCCTTCATCCACCTCATTCAAATTTTTACGAGCTTTCTGTTTCAGTGAGAGATGTACTTCAATTCTTGATTAGCAGCCTGGCTGAACTATCATACCTTGGACATCTTGGTGAGTTCATCCTTCCACATGGAAGGTGGAGATAGACCAAGCTTGTCACACCAATGACTACACTTGTGCATCTTGATGAAAGCTCTGAGCCCAGCAAAATTAGTATTTCCACTGCCCCTGGATTTGCTGTCAAGAAAAAACACTTGAGCTTTTGGCAGATAAGATAGACTAAAATCAGATGTCCTTACTCCAGATCAATCATCACTGGGTCCGTTAGAATCCCCCCAACTCCTTGAAAGTCACATAACATTGAGCGTCCTTCGTTTTGATGAAGATCCCAATGTGCCAGAGCATGAAGCACCAGGTGAAGCTCGTTGGAAGAATCTTTCACAATGAAATTCTGATTGCCAACAAATTTCTCATATTCGCCAATTAATTCTTCTTCAAAATACCACACCTCCTTTCCCGATTGAATAACAAAGTGGTCGACGAACTGAATGGTCATGGAAATTTTTTATGAAAAATGACCCTGGGAATGAATGTGTGGATATGTTGGGACTCACGCGTAGTTGAGCCACGAGTTCTCGCTCTGACGTTTTAAATTTTCTGCTTTTTATTATGGTGTTCTTGAAGGTATGTAAGACACGGCGTGCATAGAAGTACAGTTCGGCCTGATCCAGGTAGTGTAACAAAGAAACATCTTTAAAAAACGTTTTTTTGGCAACAACGTTATGTATCGTGTGCCTGATTCTGATTTCAGCCTTGTAGCACTGCATGAATCGACCACAGCCAATCAAGGCTTCATTGTCCACTCGGAACATAACTGGATGCGGTCGGAATTTTGGTTTATTTTCACCTTTCTGGAAAGTGAGCATGAGTAAGTCTCCATCTGTCCATATGGCAGATGGTCTAGGAGGAAGGAGTTCTAGTTCAATCTTGTTAGAAGCCAAACTGTCACTGTTACTCAAGAGTTCAGCATTTCTTGCTGAAAAAAGGTAAGAAACAAAAAATCTGATTAGCTACCCTGATCGATACTATTGAAATGACAATTGCTCTGGAGACTCACACTCTCCATCTATTAACAACCCATCAAGTGAATTTGCCAGACTATCAACTTGATCTGTCTTGTTTGATGAGGCTCCTAAGTCCTTGTCAGGTATCTGCACTGCGTTTTCTTCTGCATGACCAAAAGGTGAAGGTGTGATGAGTGAATATCCAACTTGGAAGAAATGATTCAAAAGATAGTTATCACCTGCTTTAATACAGGCCAAGCGCCTTTTACAGCGAGGACAGACCTGGGATGGCAGGCTCAAAAATTGGCAACTGCACATTTTGCAAGGTACATGAGTGTCCACGGATCCTGGATGTGACCGGGTCCACTTGCAAGGATTGCAAAGGATTTTCTTGAGAGTCGGGCTTGATCTTGTGAGGTATGGATATTCAATATTGCATGAATTACACCAGGGCTCGCATCTCTTCGAGGAATTTGACATATTGCTTGATAAACTGATAATAGATGCTTGCGTCGCTGCGATAAACTATGGAAGGTTAAAGTCCGGTGGTTGTCCGATATAACTCAAAGTCTAGACAGCTATGATGGTGGGATTTAAATTAAAATCCGTGTAGCTGTCTACTTATACTACTGCATCTTCATGTCCAGCTTTCGAGTCGAAACAATGGGTGGGGCCTCAGGATACAAGCTTAGGTGATTGGTATCACCTCCTCAGGCTCAACGAATACATTGCTCACTTTCACCAGATCAGCGTATGTGAAGAAGGCCTAATGAATGATCAGGTCTGAACATGTTCAGTAGCTCCGATAGATAACTCTGGGGGCCTGGAGTGAAGAACAAGGGAAGATCCCCTTTCTCAGGCAGTGACTACCCCTTAGGGGATCTTTTGACACTGATCAATGCAAATTAAGATAGAAGATCTCTAAGCTTTTTGAAAATGAGCCACACAACAAGTTGGAATCAGTGTTGAGGCTCAACCTATATTCATGACAATCAATTGAACCTCATCAGTATATTCTGTAAGCAAACAGGCTCAGTAATCAGTCTGGAGTATATGAACTCATAGTCTGATGGGAAGATCTGGCACCCAAAACAACGATTAAATCTTTACTTTGGCAAAAGAGCCTACTTATCTTCATTTACACCTAATATTAACCTTCACCCATCATGCCAATGAATAATCATGAAAAAGGTGAGTTATCAGTACACTAATCATTATGAAAAACACATAATGATTCTTCAAAATCTTCCTTACAAATCAGCAATCCCAATGAACCCAAATGTGTCAGAAGCTGCAGTCACAGACAATACCCATTCACTAGTCAAGTCAGGTACATCTCCCAAAGTCTTTTGATAAATTACATCATTCTTCCAGCTGATCCAACCATCACCAGATAACATCTGCAGAAAATGTCGAGAAAAGGCGTCTCATCAAGATCTATCAACAGAAGACATTGAGGTGATTGTGGAAGCCTTGTGTAGAAGCGAAGGACATTCAAAGGAAGCTCAACCACAACTGTGGTTAGGAGAATTAGCTTGGACCACATTCAGTATTTTCTTTCTGACTGGCTGGGTAGTGGAGATGATCAAGTGGGCTTGCGATGTTTTTGGTGTTGTTTACGACAAGTTTTCATTCCACATCCTTCTTTTTTCAATTTTTCTGTCTTTGATGTCTTGGGTTACACATAGCATGGACATTACCATTGCCATACTTTTGCTTTCTGATCTGATCAAGTCCTTGTTATAAGCTCATTACTAGCATCTTAGCGGCGGGCGCCGCTGTTGGCAAATCAAAATCAATGTACACATTCAGTTTAGAACAGAAAAAAAATTGACTTGATCACCTGTCATGATATTTACTCACTTGTTGTAAAATGTATCTGAAAGCAAATCAGACTTGCTGTAACACAGGTCACAAGGGCCTCAAGACAAATTAGGTGATTTGTGATTTCACAACCAACAACCAATTTCAAGCCATTGATCAACCACTTTAGAAAATGAACCATTGCATTAAGGACCATTGAGCAACACAGGGTGTATTATTGCCTCCAAGAAATGAGTGGAAATCAAATACATTACACATTTATCTATATAAAGACTCTGCCCATCATTGCAAACCAAAAGAGCATGAACAGTGGGTATGAAGAAGACCAATTAGAGAATGCATCTCTGGTGTGTGGAATTTGATTATTGAGGATAATATCACATTTCAAAGAATTGGAAGAACTTGGTGACATAAATCTTTGAATTCCAATTTTGTATTCATATTGCCTATATTACCTGGATGATAAATTTCAAAGGCCTTCCAATCATTATTGATTGGTGTTTGCTGCAGATTTGATCTTAAGGCCCAATTATTGATCCTGAAATCCTGTTCAACTTGTACTTTTGGTCTGAATGATATGACGGAATTCACAAATACCAATTGAAGGATATCCTGATTTATTGTAGCAGTGCTTCACCTGGAAACCATGGACAATCTTATGCTAGATTTTTAGATTAAGGCAAAATTGATATAGATCCCCTACTATGTTAAATGTTCTGTTTTATTACAGGTCTTAAGCTTTATTATGGTCAGACACATTTTGAGGACTATTTCAACAATTCTGATTTGTAGAGAGTTGACATTTTCTGGGATCAAGTTGTTTTCAAAGGATGTGATTAAACATAAACATCTCGCAACCATATTGGGTTATGTGAGAGGGGTCATCAATCAATGTAGATGTAGTTCAAGGACTGAATTTTGATAAGCCTCAAACACCCTTGAAATGGTTGTTAGATAGCTTGGCAAGTCAACCTATGTGTTGTGCTGATATGCATGATTTGGAAGTAGGTTGTCCATCTTGATCAAGGTAAACAATTGTGATCCCAACACTTCTGGATTCATGAGTTCTGGATATATGAGCTGAAAGCACAATTTAGAAACTTTCAGGGGCTCTTTGCAGTACAAAAAAAGACTGATGAACTGCTACAAGAAAATGTGACTTGAATCTGCATTCATTTGAATGTCAATAATTGTGTAGCTCTTCAAGTTCAGGTATCTAAACTCAATGCTTACAATATGCTTTTAAATTTCAGGTCTTTCTCTGTCCTACCTGCCTCCCCAAATGATCATTTCATTTGGATTTTTATCAATTATAGGTTATGATATCAACACCTAAATCAGTTAACCAACCTGATCACAAAGTTTTTTCCAAATTTGAGGGAAATGTATCTAAGCTATGCGCAATTTCATGAAATTCAAATGTTATACTTTACACCAATTCCCAGATTCAATTTGATTCACCAAATGTGTATGTGTTGATTGTATATGAATTTAATTGATGGTGTAGAAAGCTTACACAGAAAATCTATTGTAATCAAGATAAGGGAAGAACACCATGATTGTGATCAAAGTACTTTGGCAATGTTTTGTTTGAATTATGGAGATTCAAACTCAGCTACAGCATGCTGAACACATCTAGGCAATGATTGTATAACAGCGGTAAGACTCAATGTTATCAAACCATAGAATTTCAAGTGGCAAATTATCATTGTTAAGATCTTGTAGATTTGGTCTTCTTTGTTTTGTGACCTTCATGGCTCCCTAATGAATTCTAAAATATACAAATCATAAGTTTCTATTCATATGTTTGCTTTGTGATACCTTTGGTCTGGAATCAAATGCTTCAGATGAATTACTCTACATTCAACATGACATGCATCTGTACAGTATAGATGTACATGTTGTTTTCAATCAAACTAATAAGCTAGACTTGAAAGTTTC